CAATCTTTTTGTAAGATATTCCAGGAAACAGGAGCAGAGTAGGTGAAGGCCCTTTTGCCTAGTTCAATTCTCACTGAGGGAACAAAGCAGGTAATAATGCCCTGAGAGTGCACGCTGTAGCTGCATTCATGCAGAGACATGTATGTATATGTGAAACTGCAACTCTTTGTTTGTATTTTCTTATTTGCATTCTTTATGAGCTGACTGAGTGAATTGTTTTTACATTAACAAACTTTTTTTTTTTTTTTTTTTGCTTTCAGGCTGATTTTTTCCACCACTACTTGAACAAATTTGATGAAATATATTGCTTCATCAACTTGAGCAACACAATGGATTACTTGTTCTTCAATTTAGACCTTTTTCATTTTTTTTTTCATCATGACATGCACAACAACACAGCAAATAAATGGTGACATGCTGTCAAAGCTTTCATTTTCTTGTCATCTCTGATTCCCTGCAGCGAGCTCAGAAAAAGATGCAGCAATTAATGACTTTTTGGTCATTTAGATGAGGATACAGTTGAATTTCTGCTGCTCAGTGAGCTGACAAATCTGTCTCATCTATCTACAGTTATTTTGGGCTATTACTTGTGATATGAGAAAGCAAAATGTAATAACACACTATCAGAAAAGCCCAGCATTAAATGATATATTGATGTTTAGGTTTGCGACTGTTGACTGTTAAAGTTTTGATCCGGGAGGTATAAAGCAATTCAGCTAAATTACAGGTATAGTGTTGAAAAACAGCAGACAAGCAATTTGTGCAATTTTATATAACAAAGTAGGATGAAAAATACCTTTTGACACAGTAAGAGACCTTAATTCCATCTGTCCAACCATTATCTTTTATCCACTTCTTCCATTTTGGGTCACAGGCGTCGCCGGTGCCATTGTCTCCAAACCCTCTGTATCATTTTTCACCAGTTTTTATTGTCTGTCCAAACAGGTCTCACTTGTAAATAAGTCTTCAAGGCTCAATGTGACTTATCTTTTTAAATAAAGGTTGAATGAATGTCCAACAATCACTGTGCGAGGGGCGGGTACACCCTGGACAGGTCGCAAGTGCATCACAGGGCCACATAGAGACAAACAACCATTCACTCTTTCACTCACACCTAAGGACAATTTAGAGTTACCAATCAGACTAACATGCATGTTTTTGGTCTGTGGGAGGAAACCCGAAGTACCCTGGCAACAATCATTCTTGATAAACATACATCCATCTTTACCCACTTCTTCATTTCCAGGTTGTGGGCATCACTGGTGCCCATATCTAGCGGTCACTGTGCAATAGTCAAGGTACATCCTGGACAGGGAAATGATAAATGTACTGTACTTATATAGTAATAAGGGGGGTGGTGGTGCAGAGGTTAGAGAAGGTTGGCCTGTGGTTGGAAGATCGCTGGTTCAAGCCCCGGTACGACAACATCAAAAATGTGTGTGGGGTAGGTGAAGCAACGACACCTGTCCCCACTCTCATTCGTCCCACTCTGGGCCCTTGAGCAAGGCCCTTAACCCCCACCATCTGCTCCTCTGGGTGTCCCAGATAGCAGCTCTGTGCTCCACACAGAGGGCTGTGGTAGCTCGGTGGTCAGTGGTTGCGTCAGGAAGGGCATCCGGAGTAAAAATAACTGCCAAGTCTTTGTGCGACTTAGTTCGCTGTGGCGACCCCTAAAAAAAGGGGAGCAGCCAAAAACAAACAAAAAAAAAACTTATATAGTGCCTTTCTGTCCATTCTAGATTCTCAAAACACTTTGCAGCACAATATGTGCCCTGATTTTCCCATTCACATACATATTCCTACAGGACTCTACTAAATCTCTTCAAAGTTAATCAAACAAATCATTTGAGATTTGAGATTAATCAGTGTTTTGTTTAGCTCATATTCATACACCAATGTGACACACAGCAGAGACAATAAGGGCTTCAGTGTCTTGCCTATGACACTTCAACATGTGACTGCATAGTGGTGGAATCGAACCCCCAACTCTCCCATTAGAAGACAACTGATCTAACCACTCAGCAACAGCTGCCAAGGGCTTACGTCCATCACAGGGCCACACAGAAACACATAACCACTCCCACTCTCACTCATGATGGGGGTTAAGGGTTTTGCTCAAGGGCCCAGAGTGGGGTAAATGAGGCTGGAGGCAAGTATGGGTGCTTCACCCACATTTTGATGTTGTCGGTACCAGGAGTTGAGCCAGTGATCACCACTACCCATGCAGGTCCTTATAAAAAAAATAAAAAAAAACAACTAAAAAACAAACAAACAAACAAACAAAGACACATATACAGTATGTATATATATATATATATATATATATATATATATATTTATGTTTTGTTTTTTCAACACACACAAACACCCACACATATGCAAATGGTACACAGATGAAAATGTATGTGAAATGATCAAGGAGAACAAGTTCAGGAGGTCAAGTTTATTTTATGAATTTATGTGAGCTGTGTCCAGCACATAGTGAAACATGTTTCCTTTTTCCTGTCGACTCTGCACATTCTTATGTTTATAGTTGTATCCAACAATTATTTGCATATTTTAGGTCTTTGATTTTGTCACTTTGAGTAAGCCTTTTTTTTTTTAAGCAGAATATCTGACATAAGATTTTTTTTTTCAGACCTCCATCATTCTCCAGTATTTTCATAAAATTCATAAAACAGCAAACACTTCAGTTTAAACAGTTGAACACATTTAATGTTTTTTTTTTTTTTTTTACCACATAAACAATAAAATGTGGTTTCTAGTATGAACAAAATGAAACATACGAGGTGACAATAAGAAAGTTAAGCTGATCTGAGTTCCTTTATTAGTATTATTTTTTTTTCAACAAAGAAATACCTGAAAGTAGAATGCTGGTATTCCTGAAGCCAAGGTACCAGAGCATGGCCGAGGACTCAGACTCTGCAGGAATGTTTTAAGTAACAGACATCATGTTTTATTCAGATCGCATTTACTAAATTTAATGGAGGGGAAAAATGTCCCATAGAGCAACAAATAAATAAATAAATACATAAAATCATCCACACCCATATCCTTCTGATGTCTGTAATTTAAAAATACTCGGAGTGCATCTACTTAAATCTGTGAATGTGTTCATTTTTAACCATTGTGCAGTTTTGCTGGTACTGTGTTTCCTCTTAAACTTGTGTTTTTGTGTACATGTCTAAATCACCAGATTTAACCCTCAACATACAGATATGTTTTAGGATCTTCAACGTATTGTCTGTGCCTCTGTCTCGGAATAAATTATGTTATCGCATAACGCTATGCAAGAAACAGCTATAAGACTTTGGATATTCATAGATAAAGTCAAAGTAATGCCCGAGTTTGGGGATGAATTTGAAAAACTCAGTGTTACAAAGTCATTAAATCATGCAATGATAAAGTAGTGACTGGAGAATTGGGTGAAGTTTTAACATCATGACAGGCATCACAGCTGCTCGAATCCCATCAGAAGATAGTCTAGAGTTTAATAAATTGCTGTAAATTAAAGTTTAAGCTCAGTGGCAGTTTGTCACCAACTTATATCACTGGAATTTGGTATGAAATCATCAAACCTATATGGTAATAACATCCTGGTGAATATTTTACATGGAATGTAATTGCAGCCTAGATTTTGTTAACTGGCAGGGCTTTTCCAGTTTAGTAAGCATAAAATTCCTATGCTGTGAGGAGGATATGAAGAAGAGAGTCAGGGTGAGTGGTTTCATCTACAAAGCCCCGAAGGCCCCACAAGGTGTAGCCATGAATAAAAAGCTGACACAACCAAACTAACATTAGATGAATGTAACAAAATTACAGTCTTGCAATATGCTTGTGCGCATTATAAAAAAAAAAAATAAAAGAAAAAAAGAAACAAAAACGGCATTAGTAATAATAACAACATTAATAATACTTTAATTGCCACCTTATTTTGGCAGTTGAGTTTGGGTGCCTGAATAATCCTACATCCTGGGAGCTATGCTGTGCAATGCTAGTAGGATCTTCCTAGGCAGATTGACTTTAGGAAACAGGCCAAAGAAAGAGTGAATCAAAAGACAAATACAGTAAAAAGTGGTAACTTCATGGTTCGTTTTTTCATGGACTCGCTATATTGTAGTTTTTCAAAATAAGATTGGACATCACATACAATTGGCTGATTGATGGATGAGCTGCACAAATGACATGCAATTTTTACTTAAAATGAATTATTTTAAATTATTAAGCACCTGCTGTGCAGCCCACACTGCAGGAGAAACTTCCTTCCGCTGCTCCTCCTCCCTCCTTCTTCCTCCTCAGTCAATTTCCGTTCTGCAGAGGAGAAGTGGGCGTGGCCGGGAGCGCAGACTGTAGCCTTGGCACAGAGCTGCGTTCATGACATGCTGTGCTCTTTTAGAGCGTTTAGAAACTTTTTTTAATTTTTTTTATTTTTTTATTATTATTGTAACAGTGTGAGAAGGGTTAAAACTACTACTTACTAATTGTACTACTATCCCTACTTAGCAGTTTTCCACTTATCACGGGGCTTCAAGGTATGGATCCCCCGCAATAAACAAAGAACTACTGTAGACAGAAAACAACAAAAAGCTCAATGTCCCTTGCCCACCAGAGAGGTGATATTCCATGTCCCAAGAACCAGCTTTGGTAAAACAGGGTCAAAGTGTCAAAGCATATGCCTTTGGCTACAACCCATGTCACGTTGTACCCGACTTGTCTGGCCCCTCCTGCAGCTAATGGGCCCACAAGAAGGCAAATACATGCTGCTAATTCGAGGTGAGCCTGACCGAGCCCCGTGGGTAGAAACCAAGTCAGTAGGCACTCACTGATGAGCCTCTCCCCAAGGCCTGGCTACACGGTGGGGCCCTGGTAACCTACGTTTGGGCAAGGGACATTGAGTTTGAGTGGGCCATGTTCAACACTTTAATTGTTGAGACGGCTGCCCTGAATGGCGGCTGCAACGTTATTGGTGCTCCTTAGGCAGGTTGTTGGGAGCTCTGGGCATGTATGACTGGGGAAGGGAGCCCAGGAAAAACCCAGAACACACTGGAGAGACTATGTCTCTCGGATCTCATGGGAACGCCTTGAGGTCCTCCCATAAGTGCTCACTGAAGTGGCTGGAGAAAGAGATGTCTGGGCCTCCCTGCTTATGGTATTTCTTACTTCTTTAGACTATTTTTGTAGCCATTTAGACTTTGATTGTTTTATCAAAACAAAAAAAGGAATTGTAGCAGTTTTGTCCTGATGCATGCTCAATAATCCAGGTAGAAAAATCTAAAAAAGTTAAATCTGGTCCTCTGGACATTCAAAAAAACCCTAAACAAAACAAAACAACATGTTGTTTTGCTTTGTTTTGGGTTTTTTTGAATGTCCAGAGGACCAGATTTAACTTTTTTAGATGTAGCAGTTTTGGTTAAACCTTCAAATTAATATGTGCAAACTTGTGTAGCATTGCAAGATTTGCTGCTCTGAGTACATTGCGTGTTGACAGTGACTTACAGCTAAAATCACACTAATTTTTAGCACAACAAATTAAAAAAATGCTTAATTACCTGGCTGTGGTAGCCATTTTGAATTTGGTTGGATCAAAACATTTTTTTTGTTTTAAATGTACAATAAATAATGATGAATTGCTTTTTTTTTTAAATTTTGCCAGTGATTCATGGGATATGTTATTAAAAGTCAGAAAAAAAAAAAAAATCTTGAAATAGCTAATGAACACAATTGTAGAAATATTTTGTGCAATTTGATAGCTCTTAGAATTTGTGTTGACGATCACTCTCAGCAACTACCAACATCAACACACCGTCAGTATCCGTAAAATTGAAAAAAAAAAAAATTACAACTACAAACTGATTTTTTTTTTTTCTTTTTTTTCGGATCTTTGTATTTTGCATGATGATTTTCTTCAAGGCAGCACGGTGGCGCAACTGGTAGAGCTGCTGCCTCTCAGCGAGCAGGTCCTTGGTTCAATCCCCGGTCCAGGGACCTTCTGGGTGGAGTTTACATGTTCTCTCGGTGCATGCGTGGGTTTTCTCCGGGTGCTCCGGTTTCCTCCCACAGACCAAAAACATGCATGTTAGGCTGATTGGTAACTCTAAATTGTCCCTAGGTGTGAGTGAGAGAGTCAATGGTTGTTTGTCTCGTTTGTCTCTATGTGTCCCTGTGATGGACTTGCGACCCGTCCAGGGTGTACCCTGTCCCTCGCACAGTGATTGCTGGACATGGGCCCCGGCGACCCCCGTGACCCAAAACGGAATAAACGGGTAAAGATAATGGATGGATGGATGGATGGATTTTCTTCAAGCTCTGTGTGCTCATAATTAAGCAAAAGGTTGTTATTATTTGTGTGTGCTTTTTACATTTCAGCTTAGTGTGAGGAGTTTTACAGCTGTTTTACTTCTCGTTCTGACCCGTTTCCTGGGTATGATTGCACAGGCTTGTCTCTGTGCTCATTAGCAGAAGCTTCAGCTTGGAACGTCTTGTTTCTGCTCATCCCTGCCTGCCTTATACTCTGCAACACATATAGAATGTCCAAAGCTAAAAGTCCAAAGTAGATTTTTATTTTTCATGTGACATATAATATGTATTTCACTAGAAGAAAAAACAAACAAACAAAAAAAAACCATAATGTGGAGTGACATGATCAAAGCCGAGTCAAACAACATACAGAATATGTAGCAAACATTGAATTTGGAGGTTATTTGACTTACTTGGTGACATGATTTTTATTAAGATTTTTCAAGAAAGAATGTGAATACTGATGTGAAGATATGATATATGAGCAGAGAATTTCAGGAGTATTTTAATACTTGAGCACACTTGTCATCCTGACCACACTTTGCAATTTGTCTGTCTTTACTGTGAACAGTTGGTGAAGAATCTGAAATTGTTGGAGGCATACTCTTCTGTCATGTGTTAAATGTGGGTGGATTCTGCTTCATAAAATATTCTGTGCTGATCCTCAGTTCATTCTCTCCCCTGACAGTGGGTCACCACCACAGAGTTAAAAGTGATTGCCTTACAGGAGAACTTGGCAATAATATGAATTTGCATGAATAGGCAAAAAGACAGTGCATGTGCTAGAGCTGCAAAAACAAGCCAGTTTTGAAATTGTAAAATAAGCAATATTATAATAACTTTTAATTTAGTTCAACCAAGAAACTACAATATTTACTGATATGGATTATCTACAATCAAATTGTGCATTTGTGCAGTTGCAACACTAAAACTATTTCTCAAATGAATGAAAATGTAATATAAACACACATTAGACATGTAAG